CAGCCCTGTCTCAGGTACAGACTGCTCTAGGGAAGCCAGAAACCAGGCCTGGTTAAGTCGGAGAATTCATTTGCTGATAAAAAAGAGTGATGTAGGGTTGCTGGTTAGAACTTTTGAAGAACACCCCCTTTACATAAGAACCGTAATAAGGTAGCAGTGTTTGTGGTGAAAGGTTCTGGTAAAGCGGTGATCAGAGCAGTGGCTCTCCAGATGGATCATGCATCAAAATCACCCACAGGACTGCCTGGTAAAACCCAGATGGCCAGGCAGCAGTATTTCTGATGTAGTGGGTCTAGGGCTGGGCCCGAGAGTCTGCATGTTGACAAGTTACCATGTGATGCTGATGCTGCTGGTCTAGGGAACCACACTCTGACTTGCAAGTTATATACAACGACCAGAGGCTTAATTAGGTGACCTGCTCTGGCTACTTAAAGAGCCACGCAATGAATTTCAGCTGATTCATTCTTTAAACGCTGAACACAAACCAGGTCCCACACAACCAAAGGCTCTTTCATTAAAAATAAACTTTAGGGGGCCGGCCCGGTGGCGCAAGCGGTTGGGTGCGCGCGCTCCGCTGCGGCAGCCCAGGGTTCGCTGGTTCGGATCCCGGGTGTGCACCGACGCACTGCCTTGGCAAGGCATGCTGTGGCGGCGTCCCATATAAAGTGGAGGAGGATGGGCACGGATGTTAGCCCAGGGCCGTCTTCCTCGGCAAAAAAAGAGGAGGGTTGGCAGATGTTAGCACAGGGCTGATCTCCTCACAAAAAAATAAATAAATAAAAAAATAAACTTTAGGCTTGTATCCAACCCAAGTGAGCACTTTATTTCCTAGAGTTATTTTTGCTTCTTGCAAATTATTTTTTTAAGGACAAAAATGCAAAGATGATTTTTTAAAGTGCTCACTCAGTCTTTGAAGTATAAAAATGACTTTTGAGAAAAGTCATGTCAAATGCAAAGTAAAACAAATCAAATTAAGCCTAAGATATAAACAACTTCAAAATACTTTAGAATGGAGGAACAGAGGAAATCAAAACAAAACACCACAACTCAACATCCAGCGGATCGTCACTGAATTCATCTCCATGCAGAAAAATGCTAGTTATCAAAACCTCTTACAGTTGACACTGGGTAAGATTAATGCTGCCACTCAATTTTGTTAGGGAATTTCATTCTTTCCTTTTATCTCTGAGGCCCTTATGATGAATGGAAATGTTCTACAGAAGAAAGGGAATGCGGAAGAATAAATTCCAAGCTGGCAGAAAGACAGACATATTCCAAAAGGAGCAGATTGCCCGAGTCATTGTTGAAGTGACTCTTCTCAGCTTAGCCTCATCACCAAGTATGACACCACGGCTATTTATGATACCGCTGGACAGGCAGAGAGGCCCCACATGAGGAAATGGTATGTAATTAAAGTCTAGTCTGAAGGGCCAAAGTTAACTTTCAATGTTTAAATACAAATAAGATTTGGACTCACCTATTGGATATTCTAGAAACATTCCCCAGGAACCAAAATATTAGCAAAGTCCTTTTCTGACTTAAGTGGAGGAACAAAATGGTGGGTCCGTCAGAGGCATGACTTTCTCCTTCCTTCTCCTCTAGGCAAGCTCCCCCCAGAAAACTTCAAGTAAGAAATTTTCCATATCAATATGTGTGCAAAAAATAGAAAGATAGGATGACTCAGGATATGCTGGCAACTTACGGCTAAAAAGATGAGGCTTCTTATGGTTGACGGTAACGAAACAGCCCCTACCAGGTATTAAGAGTTACCATGTGCAGGCACTGTGCTGAGCGCCCTACCCACATCATCTCACGTAACACGGCGTCCCTGTCCTGGAAGTCTTGCCACTGTCCTCTATGATGACGAACAGAGGCTCAAGGAGGTGAGGAGATGTGATGTTCCTGACAGCAGTCGCCCAACCAAAGCCCTTAACATTAACTCGAGCACTGGGAATATGCCTGTGCTTTCAACTGCGTAATGATCTTCAAGATTCTTGGACAGATTTTTTAATATTCCTAATTAAAGAGGCACCCACCCTCCTCACAAAACCTGTATATTAAATATATACAAAAAACATACAGCCAGGTTTCCAAGTATATTGGAAGCCATTTTTAAAGAGAGTGAAGGGAAAGGAAAGAATGTATTAAGGTCGACGTATGTTGACTGTCATTAACGGTGACATTAGGTACCAGGTACTATGCACTAGGTGCCCTACCCAGGCCATATCATGTAGCAGTGTAATGTCATAACTAAGAGCCTGGGGCCCGGGACTGGACTGCCTGCTTCAAATTTTGGTTCTGCACCTTATGATTTATATGACCTTGGGTATTCAGCATTGCTGTGCCTCAGTATCCCATCTGTAAAGTGGAGTTAGCAATTTTACCAGTTTCCTAGAGGAGCTCAGAGGACTAAGAGGATTAATTCATGTAAAACTCAATTCATTAAAAGTTAGCATTTATATTATTTATTTCTCACAACCTCTCTATGAAGTATTTATATTATCCTTAGTGTCTCATCCATTACATAGTTTAATTTTCTCTAGAATAATTTACTCTCCCAGTAAGATGATTCTTTTAGCAAATTGGCAGTAAAACTAGCAAAAGATGAGGAAAAGAAAAAGAAGAGATGGAAAATAATAGGCCAAGTATAGAAAAAGTCAACTTTTAATAAAAATCACACAGTTCACTTCTTTTACCATTTGGAAGAAGAACCAGGGAGCAAGAAGAATAGAGGGCAGAAAAAAATAAAACGCAGAAACAACAAGTAAATCACCCTTATTTGTACCAATTCCCATTTCCAGGACTCAGCACTACTAAGGCGTCCCCAGCCTTGGTTAGCTCCGTCTCTTGAATCTGAGCCGGGAGCTGTCTGGCTGTTGGCGGTTTGCTTGGCTTTTGGTCGTCTAACCTGAGCTCTAGGTGCCTGTATAAAATTAAGCACAAGGACTCACGAGCAAGAAGACAGTGGACAAAGAAGCTGCGACAGCTCACTCCCACCTTGGTGCTCCATGGCCTGCCCAGCCCTGTGGAAAGCTCTGAGATTCACAGACTTGGTGGTGGGGTTAACTTTGTGGTATGGAACTGTTTTTCTCTGCCTCTGATTTTTTTATATACCATGAAAACAGTCTGTGACAAACACACTCCATAGTCCGTGAATTATAAAACCTGGGGTCCATGAGCCGCTCTTCTCTGCGGCTAGGGCCTCATCTCTCCCCAGCTCTCCGCATCTCTAGGGCCTGCCGCCTCGTGCTCTTCCTATAACTTAAAGCAGCTGAGAGGCTTCACCCCCGGCAGTCACCCCGAGTCTGGACGTCCTGAGCACAAATATTCCAACCTTTAAGGTTATTGGAATGCTGAGAGATGCCGAAGTAGGTTATATGATGTTAAGAATCCTTCAGAGACAGTTTTTTATTTTCAGTACTGAAGTACACAAACGTATAATTAGATATGTCTGATAAAATAAAATCTGAGCAAAACTGCCTTAAGAAAACCTAATTTGAGGAAATAATGAGGGTTTCCCCCCAGTTTGGAAGAGGGCACTTTTCAACTGTAATATGACATGCCACTTAGCAGAAATTTTTTCTTTTGAACAGAGAGAGAGAGATTTTTGTAAGGTATGGCCAATAACTGAATCTTACTTCATAAAGGACATTAACAAGAAGAAAACACCACCACCGCCTAACGTCTGCTGACTGCAGATGCTGACACCCGCCATAATGGTGCACTCAGGAGCTGGCTGTAGGAGGCGCACCTCCCAAAGAGAGACAGGAGGGATCCTCTACCAACACACACAGAAATACTGAATTTTCGAATGTTACCAGTTCATCAACTTTGCAATGTGCGCAAATAAGAATACTGTATATAAGTTTTTCTTTACCCATTGAAAATGCAAAATAAAAGAACTTTTAACCCTGCCCCATAAAAAAACCCACACCCCTGTAAAAAAGAACAAAAGCCAACAGAATGGGAAGGGAGTAATTCTGAAAATGAAATCACCATTGGCTTCAGTAGCTAAAAAAAAAACGGTAGCTTCTAATCACTGGATTCATCGGTCCGACAAGTTCCAGGGAGTTCCATATCTGTGCTACTGACCACGGCAGGGATCCCCCAGGGTGTCACCCATGTGTGGACTGCTACAGCTCCCAGGTGCTCCGCAGCCTCCCCGGCCCCTCCCAACTCAGTGAGGTTTGTGGCGTCAGATCGTGTGCCGAGACTCAGAGAGCACGAGGAAGCTGTCAAGTAACACAGCAGGGTAAACAGCAGAACGGGCATTTCAAGTCTCTTTGTTTAAGACTGAAAGTCTGTTGCCTTTTTATTTCACGTATCTCTTGGGTATTTAAAACAAGTAAATGCATTTACGGCTCTTTTTACTACTCCATAAAGACCATGAGTAATGCTTTTTGCTGTCAGCCAACAACAGTGCCAGCCCAAATACACTAACACCATTAGGCTGTAATACACCTTGCCTACGGATATAAGCGTCCAAGGAATTCTTACCTGGTGCTCCTGTGTACATGATGGAAAATACATTTATTGCTATTGTAGCAGCATAGAACACTGGAAGTGCCCGGAGGCCATTGGGAACAGGGTCCTCCTGCATGATAATGAGATAAAGTGGAAGGTCAGGATTGCAGGAGCATCTTCTGGAGCCAACACAGGCAAAATGAGAGAAAACACTGCCACCAGAAAATCTTCCCAAACACTGGCGTGGGCCGAAACGGCTGACAGCGTCACTGCCACGTGATCTGCTGCACAACTACAGAACTAGCAGTGGCCTGGGCCGTCTCCCCCACACAAACGCTGTTTCAAAGAGCCCACTGTTGTGCCCAGCAGACCCGTTAATGCACTGGAATCACATGAGCTGATGTCAGATTTAGAAACAGAGAACTGTTAGGTCAGTTCCTGGGGACTGAAGCCCAGAGCTCAGCATCTACTTCAATATCTGTGGCTAAGTTCAGGTTGGGCCCTAAAAATCTACTTTCAACAAATATTTTGAGACTCGACTCTCTGAGGATGCCCCAAGACAGTCAAATCACTTACACACCACTGCATTACTACTAGATTTCACATCACTCTTTACACAGTACATTTCAGCTCCATTAAAAGATATAAAGCAAATACATTACCATGTGTTATGATTCTCAAAATATTTTCATAAGACATAGTATTTAACCTTCAGCTATTAAAAGTTAAAAAGAACTGCAGGTTCTTTGTCAAATAAAACATTAATTTGCAACTTTAGGCCCCTGGTACGACATTCCCTAAATCTAATACTTCAACAAAAATGGTATTGCACATGTTTTAGGCTAAAGAACATTTGGAGAATACTAGAAATTTAGAGTTTTACGCAGATCTACAGAGGATTTTGAAGCAAAAAGATGGATTGGGAACTCCTCAATGCAGCAACGGCACATAGATGTTGCTTAAATAATTCAAAAAAGGACTAATTTCCAATAACCATACGAGACACTCTTGTACATTTATATGAATTTGTTACTTACTCATGATCAATGGAAAAACAGGTCTAAACATTGATGTGAGCTCCAAGAGTAAGGATAAGTAGAGACTATCTCCAAGTCTCCTACTGTCAAATGCAAACATGTATGCAAATCAAGTATGTTTGCACAACAGTAAACTCAGCAAGAGCCTCTTCTGGAATGTCTCAAGGAGCCATGAGCACTTGTCAAGAGGCTTGAGGCGGATGCAGTGAGGAGTGAGGCACAGGAAGAGCAGGGCCAGAAAGCGATTCAAGTGCACGCGAGTCACCGCCAGACCAGGCAGGGGAGGTGAAGAGCAGACGCGAAGCAGTGATGGGAGGAGCCAGGGACGAGAGGCAGGGACTCCTCTCACCCGCCATGGACCAAGAGAAAGACCTCAGGCCGAACTGAACCGAACCAAACGTCGGGACGCTCAAATGCCTACTTCCTCTGGTTTCCAAAATGTCGTTTTCTCTGGGACAACAGTTGCTCAAGACAGACTTTCAACCAATAACTTCTGAAGGTCTATATATCCTGAGTTTAAGTTTTTCAATAGAACCATCTTACATCTTCTCAAATAACCTAGTCTTATAACTCAAATGACAACTGTCTCATTGAGACCTGTCTCCTTTCCTCCCTCCTGTCCCTCTCCCTCCCTCCTTTCCTTCCTTCCATCATTCATCCATCGATCTGTCCGTCATCTGCCACCCATCTAAGCATTCATCATTCTCTCTTAACAAATATTCAACGAGTGTCTCTGAAGTGCTAAGCACAGTGCTAGGTGCTGGAATATAGAAGTGGTTTCTACTCGCACAGATCTTACAGTCAGATAGTGAACAGGCCACTAAGCAAGAAATAAAACCCTGTAAAACACAATCGAGCAATGACGGGAAAATACAGAGTGTTGTGGGAGTATAAAAAAGAGGTAACTAACCACCACTTGGGGTGGGAGAGGAACGGCTTCCTAGGAAGTGACACCTGAAGGCTCAGTAGGAGCAGAACGTTGCCAGGCAAGGATGGATTCCAGGCAGAGGAAATAAAAGGAGTGAAGACTAGCAGGCAAGAGATGGTGGCACCTTCCAAGATGTAAACAAATGCTAGCATGGCAGGAGCCCAGGAGAAGGAGTGGTGAGTTTGTACTGATCCAAGAGAATGAGCCCTTCAATAGACTACCAGGCAGTGCTCCGAAAAAATGGCCGCATCTTCCAGTAACGGGACAGCGGAAGACAGGCACAGCGCTCAGGTGCTGTGTGCACAACAGTGACCAAAGGCACGCTCCATGGCTTACAAAATATTGCAACAACCCTTCACAGTCAAAAAAATACAATCAACTTTTTTTTCTAGAATACTAATCTCAGTAAGTTTTCATTTTAATCTCATTTTATTTTTGATAAAATGCACCCCCAACAGCTGTATTTCCTGCTTTTTATCCTTTCCTCAAGGATAGAAAAAAGGCAGTGTCTCAAGCTTGCTTTCTCCATTAAAAAATAGAAAACACCTTACATTTGGATAAAGAAATTCTCCAACTGTTTTTAGTGATGGTCAATTTCAAAATCTTAACACTATCTCTCACTCTTTTCTGTTTAACATTCAGGAAATACTTACCTTTCCTTTTTGAGGTCTGAGCATGATGCCTGAGAGACAAGTTGACTAATGAACTAATCCATAAGGCAAGAAATACTATTTACGAGGCTAGTTTCTGGGGACCCCTGGGTACTCTACCTTGACTCTTTCTGCTTACTTTATAATAAAGTCTGATTGTGACTCCAGGGTGCTGTGCCCAAACAACGTAAAAATATAATTATTTCTCTGACCCCCTCACTATAGATTTTGATTGAATATAACCAAAATTAGTTCTAAAACATAATTAAAAAATAACAGCCTCACTTACCTTATTTAAGATGAAAATTCTGATCAGTACAAACAGCACGCCAGACATGAAACCAGACAACAGTGGAGATATAAACCAAGAAGCAACTGAATAATTAAAAAGAAATCTAATGAATGTTAAAATTCCACATAGTTCAGGTCATATTTATATAATACAATGATAACCAACATAAGTACATACATTAATAAACATCCCTGGAATTATTCACCTCACCTCAGAACCTAACACACCCTACTGCCTCCGCAGAGCTGACCCTCACACGCAGATCTTTGACACAGATACACAGCCCCACGTAACTGAGCACACTTCTAGCATCCAGTCCAGGAAGCTCTGGCCTCAGAGGACAGATTCTGATCCCCTCTGAGACCCTTCTGCCCGCTCTTCTTATCCGTCCCTAGGGAGACCCGGTCCTTGTTCCAACAGGAAGGGTTATTTAAGTGGTGGGCTACCTTCCACTGCATTGTCCTAGTCCAGCCTGGTACTGTCACCCTGACACTTTTAGCCTCTAGCCTAGTAGTTCTCAACTCTGGATGAACATTGGACACATTCTAGGGAGTTTTCAAAAACTAGGTATGCTTTGGCTCCACCCCCAGAATTCTGATTTAAAAGGTTTGGAATGGGGTCTGGGCATTAATATTTCTAAATTGCTCCCCTAGGTAATTCTAAAATGCAGCCAGAGTTGAGAACCACTGTTCTAGAAGCCTGGGATCTAAGGTGATTTTCCTGGCCATCTGTGTCCCTGCTTGGCAGGTCAGGGATCCGTTCAACCTAGAGCTCCTGAGGCCACTGTGATTCTTAAAACAATGAGCAACCCAGAGAATGGAGATGGGGCGAGAGAGTATTTTTCACAACTGACGCGTTGGCACTTCTGGGGCTGAATGGATTTCTCTCTTGCTAAAGGCCAAAGCCAGGAGGAAGGCTGTCAGACCTCTCAGAGCCGCCCCTGCTGGGCAGTCTACAACCCAGAAGGAAGCTGGAGTGCTTGTGGGGCAGACAGTGACCTCCTGAATACAGTGAGGTAAACACCACGGGCTCACTTCCAGGCTTCCCCGTGGCCATGAACTCTGACTCCTGGACACTGAAGGCATTTTCCTCACTACGGCCTAGTTTTTCTGACTAGACTGATTTCAATCAGACAAATTTCTTTTCTGGCTGGGAACAACAGATAGATATTGATTTTCAAAGCTGGATGACTGTGTAACATTTGAAAAGAGTGTCTGGAGTGAAAACATTGTCTAACATGTAATAGTTGACAATCCTCATTAACAGAAATTTTGAGGGAAAATATATTACCCATGTAGGTCTTCTAAACCTTAACATTTGAAGGAAAAAATATATCACAATGGTAACTTTTAATAAAGCTTCCTCCAGAGAATGTAAACTTTCCTCCTTATAGGTAACAGAAAATGGCAATTACCAATCTTGACAAGCTCCATCCACTGCACGCCGTTTGTACCGATGGCAACAAGTGAGAACCCTATAGTGGAGCCAACGATGCAGTGAGTTCCCGAGATCGGGAGTCTCAGGAAGGACGCAATCAGCTGCCAAACAGCTGAACCTGTAGGTTGAAAGATAAAAAAAGTCAGATACACAGAGTACAGCGTCTCAAACAGCCACACAAGGGAGAAATCTACGTTATCATTCTCCATACCAACATCTCCCTGGGGTTGACTGGCTACGGATTGCTTCTTCACAAAGTGCTCAAGTCCTGACGAAAATCATTCAATTAACTCTAGTCAAAGGAACATTCTCCAACAGTGAAGAAATAATGATAACTTACATAAAAGTATTTAAGGAAAAGTCTCCTGATGGCAGTTGGTAACTGCCTTTGTCACACTTAGGTTACGGTGCTAACAATGAACTTGTGCTGATGTGAACTGCGGCCAAGAGCAAGCCAGAGACTAACGACGCTGATGAACAAGAGAAACAAAGAAGATTGCATGTTGGAAAAGATTTGGTTGTAGTTGTGCCTGATGGTCACATAATGAGGAGGGCTAGATACTCGCTATGTCATATTAGTCTGTACAAGAGAGATGCAACATACAACTATCAACTAACATAACATTTACGTCAATTATACCTGAATAAAAAAAATAGAGTGTAATCCCATGTTGCCTTTTGTATTTCTGCCTCTCACATGAGAAGTAACTATGATATTTAACCCAAAACTGGGCCTCTGCTCTCAGCCCCTGCCCCCAGGGCTCGGCCTTTTCTTTGCATGCTCCCTTAAGCCTTCTAACTCGTAGGAGTTAAGAGGATCCCTTTGTTTTGGCTGCTTTGTGTCCTTTTACCTCAATTTCACCATGTTTTTCCAGGCTTAACGTTTTTCTAGGCTACGGTCCACTTCAGATCTCTTCATAAGCAGATCGGATTTTGCAGAGAGTATTAAAAGCATCAGCTGGGAGAGATCACTTTCAGAAACAGTTGTTGCAAAGCTCATGGAGAGCTAACTGTAAGGGAGCAAAGGGTTTGGCTGATAGGCAGGGCACGTTATTAATCCCAAATGTTAATTCTGGAAATCTGGTTGCCTAGCAGCAGCAGCACCTTTAAGCAGACCCCTGGCATTTTCTTCAAAAATATCTGCGTGACAGAGGATCACCACGGGTGGTACAGGTCCCGGTGTGTGAAGCCATGCCGACAGCTGCTCCACGAGCGCCAGGCATGCTGACTCTTGAGCCCAAGCAGGCTGTGCCCTGTGCTACCCCTGAAGTGTGTGCTGGGAGGAGAGGGGCCAGCCAAACTGGTGACAGGCTCCATGGCACCCAGGCCTCCCTGGGGACAATTCCTAAAGCCTTCACATCTAAGCCCTGGGCTCCTCAGGGATTAGTTGTTTTAAAAATAAAGCCAGAATTTGGAGTATGTTTCATGGCATAGAACCATAACTTAAAAGACAAACTTTATGCTTTATATTCTTACAAAAATTGAAATAATCTACTCATGTTAAGAGAATGGTATAAACTCACCCAAATGAATTCCAACTATGAGGTTTTCCTTCCTGAAAGCTGCTGTCCTTTCTCTGGCTGACTTATAACATATGTCCTGCAGCAAGAGGGTTTGTAAGGAAAGGTAGGGAGGACGGGGCTGCCTGAGAGAGGGAAGGGGTGAGGAAGCGGGGTGGCGAGGAGCAGGCCAATGGACGGGAAGAAGGAGGCAGGTCTTTGCAGGGGGCCTAGCAGAGGGACAGTAGGTGACAGGCCTCCTTACCCTCAGGAATTTCTGAAGGCAAGTGGGATTACATTAATGTTTAGAAAAACAGTGGGAAAAAGAAAGATCATTTTAACCTGAGATAATGATATCTTACGAGGAGGAATGGGATTAAGTACAGAATAAGGGTATAAGACAAAACCTAGGGAAAGTGGGGAGAAAGATGTGTATCTCTGAGGCTACAGGTTCCTGGGAAGATGGAAGGATGGCAGGGCAAGGGTTCAAGGTTGCAAGGGAGGCAGACAGACAGGTGTGACTGAGGGTGGGGAGAAGGCTCAGCAGTCGTGAGTGCAGAGGAAGCTGCAAGGGGACTGTGCACTGCCTGGGGTGGTTCAAGGAGATGGCTTGTTCATGCTGTTGTGGGTACTTCCCTGAGAAGATGGTGAGTTTTGAATTCCCACAGGTTTTTGGAACCACTGGTGGTTTCATGCTAAGTGGACTGACTATTGCTTTAGGGCTGAGCTAGAGGCCCAGAAGAGAACCTGTTCAGGAAGCTAAGCTAACGCAGACAATGTCTTCTACCCAACCAGCTCAACGCTACCACAATTCCACCAGAGAGCACACAGACCTGAGGGCCTGCGGAGACGCTTCTAAAGAAAAAGAGACAAAATAAAATAGAATAAAATTTAAAAACAGAGAGAGAGACGGAGAGAAGAGGTGGATGTTGAAATTAGAAGAGGAAGATGGGGAGAATTCAGGCATCTGAACAGAATCAGCTTCGGTTTTGGCCAATAATAATTACACCAGCATTTTAAATTTACATAGCTCCCATTTACAAGGAACCCAAGTTAAAAAATCTAGGTAACTCACACAAATTCCCAACAAAATAAGCTTTGAGATTCCTCTAACCATACACCAAAAAAAATAAATAAACCAAAGCAAACAAAATCAAGTTATTCAAGCAAAACCCCAAATTGCTTCGGTTAACCTAAATTCTAGTTGAGGTAAGTGTTCTTCATTCCTTTAGTAAAGAGCCAAAGACCAGGGGCAGGAAAACGGAAAACCTGGACAAGCGATACTGTCCACACGAAGCCAGCAGCGAGTGAGGCTCAGCTCCCCAGGCCTTCTGTCTAACGAGGGCCTCAGGGCAGCGGCAGTCGCAGCTCCCTAAAGAGCACCAGCACTCCTCAGAGGGCCGCGCAACGAAAGGAGAAAGCGCCATTACGATTTAATGTCACCAATGTCTTTCTTAATCTCCCCTACTTTCAACATATCTTGCCTGCATCATGCCAACTGGAAAAATCTTAGTTTTGATATGATTATGTCTCAGGTATCTATCACGACTATCAAGGGTGATTTTACAGCTAACTGTTATTTTTCTAAGGGAAATTTCGATTCTATCTGACTATGATGAGAAAGATATGATCAGTGAACGTGAGTACAATTCAGTCATTACCATAGCTGCTGGAAGAAAGCAATCGTGAACCTTACATCTTTAAAACACAAGACGTTAAGTTGAGAAATAGGAACTCCTTAGCATATGTTACCAGCCTGCCGTGCTGAGTCATATTTAATACCTTATAAATCGGTCTGCTTTAGATCAAATGCCTCAACAACTTCTTAAACTAACTTGCTGTAACAAAAAGATGACAGGCCATCTGAAATTTGACAAATACTCTCCACATTCTGGGTGCTTAAGAGATGCTGGAGATAACAGATACCGAGGGGCCTGTGGAATGTAGCTGTGTTCTCGGGACACCAGCATCTTACCTGCTACTGCAGCACTATTCCTACAAAAGGATATGTCCTACTGAAAGCAGAAGGTGGTGGAATTCCCTGTAATCCTTTTCTCCCTAACCAAATTACCCATACAGATCAGCTGTGTGCTGTGCCGTCATCTCTACCTAGAGGCACACAGAAAACGAGTCCTGTTAGCTGCACTTAAGGCATTCCTGCCTGAATCTTCTTTTCAGCTGTAGCAAAGACAGTCAGGAAGCGTCCCACAGGCTTCAAGGCCACCGTGGGCCGTGGAGAAATCACACTGTCTGACCAGTCAATCTGCGTATTAACATAGTTCACTGCCCTCAACACTTCTCCTTCATCTGGACAACTGGAAACGACCAATAAAAGGTCATACTGTACACAGGTAACATACAAATGATTTTTGGCCAGAAAACAAAACAAATGGAGCTCTCAGAGGTAGAATCAGAAAATCAAAACAAAAGCCAACAAAAGGATTCCAGATAACACAGAAGACCAGAATTTCTTGAAACTTAAGATTCATTTGGTAACTGCTCTAGATCTTAAACTCAGAATACAAAGTTAAGTTAATAAATACTGTTTTTTGGCATCCAAGTTTTCCAAACATTGCATCATAACTGATTAAAAATCTATGAAAAAATAGAAATAAACCTTCAGGGAACTCTCATAAGTAAACCTTTCACACACATTCACTTAGACATGTTATTTCTTTAATAACTTTCAAACAACTTTAAAATGACAAAGAGCTATTCTACAAATATCCTTCTCTGTACTTTATGAAAAGTACTCAGTTAGCCAAAACCTATTTTAACAATCAAGTTTGCTAAAAATGAGAAAATAAATGTTTGCTTGACATTTGAAGACTAAAAAAAATCATAATCAAATGAAAATGCAGAAATAAAAAATATGATATAGTAAATACGAAGCATCAAACCAGTTTTTGAAAAATTAAAGGAAAAATCACATTTATGGGTGTGACAAAAGTACTGTAGGAAGTAATCAGGGGGCACATTTCTCACGGGGATAAAGAAGAACGCTACTTACCAACCATTGCACTAACTTCCCCAGCCATTAGTGTTTCTACTGTCTCGTTGTACAGGTTCACATCAATGATACCTTTTCGAATGGTCTCTCCTACTTTGGCTCCCAACAACACTGAGCCGGTGGTTTCAAATATTGAAGCCAAAATGCACGCCTGTCTCAAGGTCACCACGCCAGAGCCCACAGCAGTACCAAATGAATTGGCAACATCATTTGCACCAACAGAAAATGCCAAGATAAAAGCTATGATAAAACCCAAAATGACCATCCACAAATACTCATCCATGGCCATGTTGGAAAGTGGGCTCCAGGTACTTTTCTTTTGCAGAAATATTTTAAATAAATGAAGCTTGAGGTTATAAACGTCGTAAGGCCGAGGGTTCTTGTAAACTGAGTTTGCTCTGGAAAGTGCTGGACAATGTCAGAGCCTAAACAAACTGCTAACTGCTGGTTTTCAAACTCCTGTCAGTACAGTTCATTTGGTTGTGTTCAGTCAGCAGTAAAACACATTCCATATTTTTCCTCCCAATCTGGGAAAGCTGTGATGTCTCCTCCTGTAACAGAAAGAAAACAAAAGAAATCAATTACCCTGAGCTACCTGTAACAGTCTGTCCTTTCAGAAATAAAGGTTTTAAGCCTACTACTGGGATCTGATTTTGGCATGTGACAAATCTAACCATAAAGCAACTCTAGGAAGATTACAATTAGGTTAACTGCCCCTCCCCGTAAAAAAAGCTGGTTTCTAGAATGTCAGAGGTTGAAGCATGCTTTATAATTACAGACTGATAGTAAGCCTTAATAGGATACATTTTTACGCAATTTGAAAAATATATTTGGTCGCTATTTTCAGAAAGAAAAAATTGCCTCAAGTGAGCAAACGATAAAGAAATGAGAAATTTAGTCAGAGTTTTTCAAATATGCCTAATTTCTTGGAACAGCGATTACCAAATGAGATTCTGTGACACCACGGGGTGTGGCTAATTGTCCACCTGCACGCTTCCACATAAGGAATGCGCACTTGATGATCCATCCTGTGTGTCTGACAGAAAGGTCACGGGTTCTGGGACAGAGTGACTCATCCAGAGGCGACAAAGGTGGGAACTGAAGGGCCTCAAAAAGGAGGCCTCCTTCAAGAAGGAACAGAGAAGGCTGGGAACAAAAGGATCCTGTCACAGCCCGAGCCAGCGCCTGTCACTGTCTTGTCACCAACCTCAGCTCCTGTCCAGCCCCTCCCTCACTGGCTCTGCTATTCTTTGAAAACACCAAGCTCTCTCACCTCAGGGCCTTTGTACCTGCTGATCCCTCTGCCAGGAAAAATCTCCCTGACAGCTGCACAGCTCACTCCTCACTCTATTTAGGTCTCTGCTCAAATGTCACCATCAGAGAGGCCTTCCCTGACCTTGTGAAAGAGCAGCCCTGCGCCCAGGCCATTACCCACCCCTCTCATCCTGCTGTTTTTCTTTTCTGCTATCACCGCACTCATTCATTCATTCATTCATTCTTGTCTGTCTCCTCTCACTAGGACCCAGGGACTTTGCTGGACTCACTGCTATATCTCCAGTACATAGAATGGTGCCTAGCAGGCAGTAAGCCCTAATAAATTTGTTGAATAAATGAAGAAAGAAGCTATGAAACAAATGGAGAAAAGTCTTACATAATCCTCCTTCTGGGATGAAGAGGAGATGTCACAAAATTAATATTTCCATGAAGTAAAAATGCCGCTAAAAGCTTCAGAACTATGGTATTCTATTATTATATAGTCAAAATATAAAACCTGTGTATTTTCTTTGAAAGGGATTAGGCATACAGAATGGTACCTAGCACTGTGTGACTCTTAATAAATGCTTATTGAATTGAACTGAATAAATTAGGACTCATATACAATATAAGGATCCATCAACATTAAGGTTATTTAAGGGAAAAAATCAGATACAAAATTTTATGTGCATTGTGATTATGGCAATGTTAAAAACACATATAAAAAGACTAAAGGGTAATATACTAAAATTGTAACTGTGGTTGAGTTTTAGTGGTAGTACTACAGATGATTTTTTTCCTTTCTTCTAAAACTATATACTGTGGTTATGTGCTTTTCACATTAAAATAATATATAATAATCAATAAACATATATAGAGAACCATCTATGTACACAATACTATAGGCAAAAAATGAAATAGAAAATGTACATTGATAGATCTGATCATTTTCTAAGATTTGTAGTCTACGCAATTCTGCAGATTCAGATCCAAGTGAGACAAAGGAAAAGCCCACTTGAAAGGCAAAAGACAATATTCCACTGAAAGAGTATTTTATTAATATTATTGGCACATTAAATCTATAAATGAAAATACAAAATAAAAATATTTGGACCAATGTTATCTAGAATTACTAATGAAGTTTTGTCAGGTTAGGTTGCCAATAGGGCAAACAAGAACAACATTCAACAAATATCCATCAAGAACCAGCTCTGAGCCAGTTGCTAGGAATATAATGATGACTGAAAATGGATGTGGTCCTGGCATATATGGGGCTTAGAGTCCAGAGAGGGAAATAGACACTAATCAAATAGACACATGAATGTATGACTATAAACTGTGAACAGTGCTACAAAGGCAGGAGGCACATGTCACACAGCAACATGAGAGTATAGGTCGGGGGCACGACTGGTCTGAGAGCACAGGACAGGCTCACCTGCAATCTAAGGATGGTGGGAGTGGACTCTGGGACTGGAGGAGGCATTCCAGGCATTTTCCAGGTGGGAAGGAGCAGAATGAGGACAGGAGACCTCCAGTCTCCTGGAGGCAGGCAGGGTGAGGAAACCATGATGAAGGTTGAGCTGCACCATACTAAAGACTGTGGCCACCATGCCAACAATGGGGTACTGTTAAAGGGTTTCATCAAAGGGATGCTGACATGATCAGACTTTCAGATCATTCTGACTGTGGAGAATCGACTGGATCGAAGACAAGAGTGAACGTGGAGAGAGGAATTACCAGGCTACCGCATGGTGCAGGCATAAGATGAGGCATCCTGGACCCAGGACGGTAGTGACGACCAAGGGAGGAGAAATGATTTACAGAGGTATTTCAGTGACTAAAGTCAACAGCTCTTGGTGATGGTTTCCATGTGGAGGTTGACAGAGGATAGATAGTTACTGACTTGTGGAACTGGACTGAAAAATAACTGAGTAGGGTTTTTGTTCTCTTTTGCATTATATTCAGTTTTGTTTTTAGGCGGAAGGGTGGGGTTCGACCACAGGTCCACCTGTGGACACACTGCACATAGAGGTAAATGACAGCAGCACAGAAGAGACAACTAGCTGGTTGAGGCACCAAAGCAGGTATGTCCTCAGCCCAGTTTTCCTCAGGAAAGTTTTTATTGTCTTTATGGTGCCAAAGGTATCATTTCAGACCAGGAATTCCCTCCTACTGAGATAATCTTAGATAACTAATTTCCACAATCGTGTCTATGTTCTTTAATTTGTTTTTTTTCCTTCACGTTCATACCCTCAGCTAACCAGCTTAAGTCTAAGAAGCAACTGGTGAAGCAAAGCTTGTCACTTTTTTGAGACCAAATGATTTCTATCTTGCATTATATTTATAAGGCCTGTTTTTTATTGCAAGTACCAACACCTTGATTTTCTCCCTTTTCCATTAATTTTTATCCAACATGAGCAAAATAAAACAAAGTGCTTAAATAACTACACAATCTGCTGCATAGAAAAAGATGGTGATGCTGCTGAAATCAGGCCATTGGCAGGCCAGAGGACCATCATGCAGAAGACCAAGATGGCAATTTGTCAAGAACATAGAAAGCTCAAATTCAGTGCCTGAGGTCTGACCAGGTATGACATCTGAGAGTGCTGGCTGTTTGAAGGTGGGCGATCAAATCAGTGGGGCAAGACTGACTTACTCAATAAATGATGCTGGGACAACTTGCTAACTGCAACTATCTGGAAGGGGGAAAAAAAATTAGATCCCTACCTCACACCAAAATTTTAATTTAAAGTTGATTTAAATGTAAAAATTGAAACCTAAAGAGAATAAGAAAAAACATAGGTAAATATTTACTTAATATTGGGACAAGGAAGCCTAGACACGACACGGAAGGCAGTTAATAAAAGGAATCAACACATTTGAGTTCATAGAAGTCATGTAGCTGGGAGACAGAGAGGTCTGAAGTGTGGCAGCATCACATAGAGAAGAGAGCCTCTTCTCTTCCTCAGCAATGATTCTCAACAAGGGTGCAATGCTATTGAGAATTTCCAGCTAATGCTTGGTTCTTTCTAACTCTCCTCAACGGCCTTTCTGAAGAAGGTCAGAACATGAAGGAGGGTTAGAACAAGCTTCTTAACTCTCTCTCTCTCCTTCCCCTAGGATGAAAGCCCCTCTATGGCTGAGATTCGCAGGACTGAAGCTTACAGGATATTCTTCAATTTTTAAATGCCACCAACTTCTTGCATTTGAGGAACAGAGACCTTAGAGTGTCTTGAATTATTGCAAGAGGTACTGAGGGCTTTCATAAGTTCTGTCTCCCAAACTTGCAATGTTAACAAGACCCTCACCTTCTTTTCTCAGCACCCTCAATGCCTTCTGAACAAACTTCTCAACTGTCAGTTCTGCCTGCCATCCCTTCTGTTCCTTGACCTCTGAACCAGCTCTCCTTCTCTCACCAGGCCCAGTGAGCACCCTGGCAGGACTCCTGAGTTAAACGCTCATAGATTCTCTCTCTGTAATATTCTCTATGAGCATCTGCTTCAACTCTCCCTAAGATCCTCTTATCCATACTAGCAATCTGAATGTTAAAGAAAAAGTGAAAACAAATACTCTCAGAGTATTTCTAGATAGATTTGTACACGGTTTAAAAACAGGAATGTTACTGAGTTGTAGCACTTAATAGACATTTATGCAAAAAGAAGTTTGGGTGGGAGGGTCCCTGCTCTGAAATGCCATCAACGGTAACATCCAGATGATCCATGACCTCTCCACACAAAGGTGCTGAGAGGTCTGTTCCAGTCCTCCTGTCAGCACTCCTCTCCTCTCTCAGCCCTAGGGTCTGACCCTCTCCTCAGTCGGCGCTACCCATCCCAGACAACAAGGTCTGTGGTGGACTGTGGCTTAAGCTATGACTCCTCCTCAGGGACCTTGCAGTTTTAAAGGATCGGCCCATAGCCAACCTCCTTTCCATCAGTTTGCTTCTGGCCTATGAGGAGCTTTTCCCCGAGATTTCATGGACTGCACGATGCCAAGCTCTCCCTCCAACGACGAAGGGAAGGAGCCAGGGCCCCCACACAGAGGACCCTGGTGCTCTGAAGCAATTTTCCAATAGCTCCCCTAGAGCCCAAAGTGCCTCACACTCACCCTTTAAAAATGCAAAGCTTACTTTCCTGGAAGCAAGGGTTGAATCTTAAATTCTGACACTTAGGTAGAAATATGAAGACACAGATGTCTCTTCAATGGTACGATGTAAAATCTAACGACTCTGCTACATGTAGTTGAGCCTGACTACTCAGACATAAAAATGACTAGCTTTTCCTGATAGTATTTAAATAAA